CAGGGCCCGCTATCGGGCCCAGGGGCCATGAAAAATGGATCCGCGACGAGAAAACACCCCGGGTGTAGGGGCCGGGGCCTCTGGGGCCGCGATTTTGATTGCCCCCCTCGCCTTCCGCGTCGGACGAAAGTCGAGTAACCAAAAACGGCATAGACATCAGCTTGCGGCGGTCCACGCCTTGGATATGCGCTGGGATCCCCTCGGCGGCGCCTCTGGCGCCGCCCCTGGCGCGCTCCGCGCGCCAGGGAGGGGGGCCCAGCGCAGCTCCAAGACATCCGCGCGGACTGTCGAAAGTTTTATGTTCATGCCTATTTCTGTTCCTCTAGAAAAGGGAGGAATGGTTTGCAAGAGGCACAGACCTCCTCGAGTCGCGAATAAAGTCGCGACGGAGGGGTTTTCATCATTTTCGGCCTTTGGGGGCGGGCTGTGACACCGTCCAAAAAGACGACTCGGGATGAAGAGCCGGTCCCGGGAATGGGTCGAGACTTCTGGGGCTCGACGTCGTAGAAAAAAGCATGACGTCGGGAGTCTGGGGAGATAGCGTAATTCGATGTGGCGCCACCGGCCCGCCCAGTATTGAGAAGGCGAAAACCCCCCCCCCACCCCCAGTCCCGACGCCCATCCCCGAGCCTGCGATTCAAGGGGTCGGGACTGGGGGATGGGGGTGGGTTTTCTCCATTCCTGCATCCCGAAAAACCACCCCTGCCCCCAGACCCCACCCCCTGGATCGCGGGTTCGGAAATGGGGTCGGGACTGCGGGTGGGGGTGGGTTTCCGCCGTCTCAAGTACACACTTTGGGGATTATTAGCGTGCGCCGAAGAAGCCATGGCAGGGGGATGGCGTGCGCAGAAGGGGCCCTCGGTTCCGGAGCTCGATGACGCACGCTATCTCTTCGCAGCGCCAGCCGTAATGGGGGGGACACATAAAGGGGGGCAAGAAAGGTGCACCTCTCGTGCACCCCATGGGGCCCTAAACGGACCCTGAGGGGCTCTTTGCCGCGCCTCAACGGAACACGAGAGGTGCACGCTCCGCCCCCCCCCATTTCAGGCGCTCCAGAAGCGGCTCGCCTTCGAGGATCGATGGAGTTGGCACCTTCCCCGCGGAAGCCGGCGGACGTTCAAGATAAGCCTCGGCGGCTCAAAGGATCCGTTTGCCTCCGAAGAGGAGGGGGGTCGCAATTCCCCCACCGGCTACGACCCACGCGCTCGCCCCGCCATACTCGCCATGAGAGATGCCCATGACGTGGCGGGGCGATGGTAGTCGCTTCGGCGCCAGCGAGGTGATCGTTCGGAGGCCGCCCAACCTCCGAGGACAGCTACCAAAACATCGTGCACGCGTCCTTCTAGCTGGGATAAGGGCTGATGGGCGGCAAACGGGCTTGGAAACGAGCGGTGCGGCTAGCGGAGGTGACAGGCAACAGCTGGTATCGAGGCCACTTGCTTGCGCGCCCCATGGTTGCCTACATGGTTAAGCACGACGCGACGACCTTCCCGCAGGTGACCGACGTTTCCTCGTACGCACCGAGACCCCCCAGACTACGCAAATCGAGGAGAAACCCATCATGAAAATATGGAGAGAGAACACAGTATCTCATTGACCGCATGGGCGAAATATTACGTCTCGCCAGGGAACAGCAAGTAGCCATCGTGCGTTCCTGGGAACGTTCATGGGAGGCATTACGCCGTGGACCAGCGCTGGCTTTCGCATAATCCCTACGCCGAAGACTTCGGCTCGTGCGAAAGGCGGGTGCTTGACGGCCCTCAACCTTTCCTACTTCGGCCCGCTTACAGGTCCGCTGCGTCCACAAACTGTTTCCAGGACGCCTGCTGGGACTTCGTGAGCGACAGACGGGGGCCAGAGAACGCGATCTCTGAACCTTGAAAGGCTACGCTCCCACGAGTGCAGCTACACATCACGTCGCGGTGGCCGACGGAGAACGAGTCCAAGCTGAGCATCGTCAGGTCCAGGACATTTTCTGGCACGCGCGCGAGGCTACCATTAGACGCGCGCCGCAGAAATCATCATTCATTTGGCGTTTGGATGCCCATGGCACACTTGCCCCAGAGCTACATCACGTCGGCGATGCTGGCGTTGATCGTAGCCCTCGCACAACCAATCACAACGGCGGCCACTGTATCTCAAGATTGCAGGACACAGGTATGACAGCGTTGAACACTCACGGCAGCCGCAAGGAATATGTTGGTACTTGGCTTCGCACGGATGGGAAGACATGGGAACGCATCGATTATGTATTTACTTGGCCCCAAGGAGGATGCAGACACGGTGCAAAAATTCTTCACTTTCTCTTTGTCTGCATGGAAGGCTTTCAAGACCATCGCCCGATCAAAGCCCGCATTTCAGTTGGATGTCGGCGCAGGAGACTATGCCAGGACCCGCCTGTCAGATGGAGCCGAGACTTATTGAGACCGCTTGCTACGCGACCTTCAAGCCGTTCGACACACTGACATCGCCCCAGCTCGTGTCCGAGGTTTTCGAGATCGACCTCGTCGAGAGTTTCAAGCTCGCGAGCACCATGGACACTGGCCGGCGGAATGCGGCACCGACAGAAGATACATGACGACATCCAGTTCGTTCATTTCCCATTGAGGGGGCCGCCGTCGACGCAGCTTACCGGATCTACGTGGGCAACGCGAATGCGGCCCCACGGAAGAACATGGCCGATGCTACATTGGAGCTGGCACGACGCAAACAATACGTCCAGATAGTGCCACCGACGTTTTGGGTCAACAGCCGTGGCTTTACAGGTCCATCATGACGCGGGTCCGCATGGCGGCGAAGCGGGCTCAGCAGGCGGTGAGATCGGAGAGGAGGTAGTGCATCGCCGCACTCGTGACTGACGCTGAACGGGCCGACGCTGCACATGACATGCGCCGCTGCTACCCGATCGTCAAGCGGCTTACTCCCACGCCCTGCATGCCCCTGCTGACCGTCAGAAACCCTGAGACATGCCACCCGTGTTTGGTTTATACCGAGGACCAGCAGGTCCGCACCAACGCCTTATGCGCCATCTTTGAGGGCACAGAGTTGCCCACGCAGGAGGACGGAGGCCCCCGGGACAACCCGCGGGGGCCCGACGAGGAGCTCATAGGCCAGCACGGCCCAGATGATGCCACCATGGCCCTCAAGAGGCTCCCCAATTTCAAGAGCGCCCCAGCGCTGAAGTGGACTGACCCCATCGATCTCGACTGGCCCCCGTCAGGGCCCGGAAGGAGCTATCGCCGAGTTTTGGATGCTAGGTGGCAGCCTCGTTGGGGGCCCTCCCACTAGTGTATGTCGGACTGCTCAAGCCCTTCGTCGAGTTCCTCGGAGGTTAAAAAACGGCGAGACGGCATCGCTGCGAAAAAGGAAGGTGGGCGGAATGAACGCTAAGGACCGCTATAGGACGATCAACCTGATCGGCCACGTAGGGAAGGCTTCTGCGAATGCAGCCATCATGCCCGAGCTCAGGCCGATATCAGGCCGCACTTCCACCGCGCAGTCCGGGGCCCTCCAAGGCGGGTCGACGCGAGAGGCCATCGCCTTGGTCGACGGGATTGGCCGTCGATTCCGAGACAGCCCTCGTCGCGCCAAAGCCACGCATCTAATCTCGGTCGCAGCGCTGATCGATCATTGAGAAGGCCTTCGGTCTTCTGGACCGCGGCCAAGTTAGGGCGGCCCTGGAGAAATCGGCGCTCCCCTGCGGCGCCCGCCCGACGGGACTTGCTATATCCTCCGAGATGCCAGCGCGCCCGGACCCTGTAGGCAACTACTTTTTTGCAATGGCGTTCGCCAAGGCAGCGTTGAGGGCGCTGGACTACCCATTGCAATTTACGACCTTTTCAACTGACGTTGGCTTCACGGCGACAGAGGCGGGCTTCGCAGGCATCCAGGTGGAGTGCGACCCCCAACTTCCAGTTTTGAGGAATTCAACCAACTTCACGGCTAACAAGTTGAGTGAGCTAGACACGTGCCAGGCCAAGTTTGTAGATGCTTTAATCGCGCTGACAGTGGTCGACGACCTAGAGACAGCCTCCGCGTTCCTGGAGCTCCTGAGGCCCAGCGTGAACGCCAGCAGCTTAACCAGGAACGCCCCGGAAACCGAGCTGCTGGCGAGCGCGGCGGGGGGGGGTGTCGAAGAACCTTGAAGAAAAGCCATGTTCAGCAGACTGGCATTGACATTGCTCATCCAGATCGCCGGGCCCGTTCGGTCTACGACGCCGACTGTAAAGTACCTTGGCTGCCTGTTCTCGGCAATGGGCTCGTGCTCTGCCGAGGTCAGAGCCCCTGGCGCCTGCCGACCAGGCCCGCGGCCGGCTGTCCCAGAGCGTGCTGAAAGGGTAACCTCAGCGCGTTTCGCAAGATGCGCATGCGGCAGTCGCTAGTGCGACCGATGGCGCTACGCGCGCTAGAAGTGGCTTTTCTCACCAGTAAGGATCTGAAGAAGCTGGAACGATGGCAGACCTGGAAACTTCGACATGTTCTGCCCACCACTACCATGGATATTATGTGCACAGACATACGCTTTCGAGCCAAAGTCTCCAGCGTGAGTTCTACTCTATTGCGTCGTAGACTGCAGCGGTGGCGACATGTCACCGCCCCTGGAGCAGCCGTGTTCGGCGAACTCTCGTTCGAGGACCCCCAAAGTCGTAATCCTGGTTGCCGCCTACGACAGCTACTCACAGATCTTCGAGAGTCGCGTTCTCGCTTGCCTGCTGAGAGCACCGAGAGAACCCCGCATGATTCGCCGAGCATTTCACGAGCCTGGATGGAATGGTTATCTCTGCTCGCACACGCAGAGCTCCAGGCCGTTCTCTCACATGAGGCTGAGAGTGATCATCTCTGCGAAGCTGAGAAATAGACGCAGCCCTCCGTCTCGCTTGTCCTGAGTGCGGGAAAACGCGCAATGGCAAGAAGGGGCTGGAGAATCACAGGTTCGTTGTCCACCAGGTTGTCGCCGATCGTTTTGAGATCCCCGTGGGTGACCTGAACGCCCGACAGCGCCCCCTATCGTAGTGCCACACTCACTCGCATGGACACACTCCACCGGCATATCCAGCTACGACGTTGCCTTCGGCTCATGGGTCCGAAGGCTGACCGGGCCCAGAGCCCAGCATCGGTGCCCCCCCGCGGCAGGAGCGACGCTTGCGCCCGCGCGAGAAAGCGGTCGCGAAGATGAAGATCGGCACGCAGATGCAGCTGGCGCTGGCGGCGAGCACCAAAAACAACCAGAAGGTCGGCAAGGAGGCTTGCGACGCGGTCGGCCCCAGCGAGTACCGCGGCCACCCGCTTGGGGAGATGTCCGACGCCTGCCCGCGCATGCTGATGTTTCGCTGGAGCGAAGCGGTCGAGGCCAAGTAGGAGGATGCGAAGGTCGCAGTGGCCCGAGGGCCGAACCCTACGGAGTCGGCAGGCACGCTGAAGCTAGTAGTGGACTTCGGTAAGACTCTGCAGAACAAGGACGCATAGTTCAAGGCGACCCGCTACTTCGACGTGACCGTGAAGAACGAGGTCGACGGCGAGACCGTGGAAGAGGCCAGATGGATACCCGCAGCTATGGCGCACCCAACGCTCATGCAGGCCATGCACTACCTGAGGGAGAACGGGGGCCTGAAGTCGGCGAGCGCGATGCCAGAGGAAGACACCGCGTAGCGGCGCAAGGCGGCGAAGGAGCCCGAGAAAAATTAGAGTTCAAGAACGGCGGAGGCGGCGGCAAGAAGAAGGGCCCCAAGCGCTCCAAGAGGACCTGAGAGCCCCAGCGAGCAGCAGCCTGAACGGACCTCCGCCAGCCTCCAACGCCAGCCTGAACGGCCTTCGGTCGGGCGGAGGGAGGGGGGGACGATTTGTTAACGCCCTGGTCTGGGCCCTTTGAACGAAGGGGGATCCAGCGAGCGAGGAACACTTTTTGGGGCGAGGGCCCGCCGCGGGATCTAGAGGGTTCTGCAGCGGCTGCTCTCGTAGTGACATCCCCTCAGAGGGGGGGTGCTCGAGTGCAGGACCGTGCGGGCAGAAGGCCAACGCTCTTTCTGCTCCCCTGCCTCCGCGCCCCCCTTTCAGACCCCAGTTCAATCCGTGTTCGCGTGAATTCTGCTGCGCCGAGTTATCGGCAGTTTCTTGTTGGGCCCGCCGCAAGACATCCAGTGGATTGTTCGAGGGGGTAGCGCTGGCAAGAGAAATTTGAAGATCTGCCATTTTTGTCGGCCCAGGCAGCGGTCCCCGCGCGTGCTTCCTCATGAGCCCCCTCCGGCGGGATCTTGAGCGTTTCCGTCGCGCCCTTTCCGGTGGAATTTTCTGCGAGGCCCGCCACGGGACGCCCCATCCCAGAAACCTGCGGGCGCAGCCGAGAACAACAAGAGAGGAAGTAACTACCGGCGCCCTAAGAGGTGGCAGGGTGCTTTGGTTCAGGGTTTTCCCACGCGGCCGCGTGGCGGGGACGAATATGGGCGCACCGTCAGGGGCCCGAAGTGGGGCCCTCTGGCGCCCAAGAGGGGCGCGAGAGGCTCGCGCTGCTCCGCCCCACCACCGTCGGAGGAGGGCAACGCTGCAGATCCACCACGTTCCCTCCCGCACCCTCCCCCAGGAAGGAGGGCGCCGGTCAGAGGAGGAGGAGGAGGAGGGGGAGGAGGAGGAAGAGGAGGAGGAGGAGGAGGAGGAGAAGAGGAGGAGGAGGAGGAGGAGGAGGAGGAGGGGGAGGAGGAGGAGGAGGAGGAGGAGGAGGAGGAGGAGGAGGAGCTGCATGGTGACATCTCCGTTGCCTGCATGTATTGTTAAGTCGGGCCTGTCCCTCTACGGAGGGGGAATATTCAAAAATAGCCAGAAAATAGTGCGGGGACGATTGTTGAACTATGTTTGCCCATTGGGGGTGGAGTTGTTTTGAATATTTGTTTTATTTTTCGCCCAAAATCCCCCTGCAGAGGGACACGCCCGACTTTCAATGTAGTGCCCCCCCCATTGTGAGCAGCGGCCCCGAGGCGCCCGCGGGGGCGGCGGGCATCGGCCTCGTGGAGCCCCTCGCGAGGCAGCTGCCGAGGCCGGAGCAGGAGACGCTGATGCAGGTGCGGGTGCCAGGCTCGAGCCGTCTGTCGAGGCTGGGGCCCAGGCACAGGGCTGGACCCAAACTTAGGTCGGGCTTGTCCCTCTACAGGGGGAAGATTCAAAAATTGTCAGAAGATTGTCTGGGGACGATTATTTGGGTACTTGTTTTACCTTTTTGGCGCATGTTTTGAATATTATTTTTTTCGTCGAATATCCCCCTGTGGGGGGACTCGCCCGACCTAAAGCTAAACGGTGTTTTGGCGTTTCCGTGGGCCGTTTTCGGTTCGACTTCGTTCTGCGGCAGAGGCGGATTGGAGACAGAACGGCGGAAAACGAAAAAACAAAACGAGTACGAAAAACACTGATTAGGTTCAGCCCTGCCCAGGCATGCTCGCGGCGCCTTGGACAAATCTCGACCCCAGGCGATCGTTTTCTTGTTCGTTGTTTTGCCGGTCGGCGCGGGCCCTCGCACCGCCCCCCCCCCCCTCCCATAGACTCGATCTTGGCTGTCTTTGGCACCTGTTTCGAGCAGGTGGAGCCTCCCCCCAGGGGACGCACGGTTCCAAACAGTCGCCCCAAGCAGAGGTCCGGAGCCAGACCCCCCATCCCCCTCCTCCCCCTCCGCCCAATGCCGAGGCGCCGAATGAGAAGACGCTCGCCAGAGAGCCGAGGACCCGAGTTTTGCAACCCCCGCTGCTTCCTGGATGCTGGCCCCCCGGGCCCTTTGCCGGGCCCGGGGGGCAGCAGGAATGGATCCAGGACGAAGCACCACCTCCGGGGGACGGAGCCGGGACCTCTGGCAGTCTGGAGCCTGTTTTTTTTTGGGACTCAGGCAAGTTTACTTGCATGGCGTTCGCCCCCCCCCCCCCCCCCCCCCCCCCCCTCGCCCCTCTTCAAGCGAATACTAGCGTGCAAGTGCCTTTCGACTTGCGTGATTTCCGCGCCCCCCCGAACGTGCAAGTCGTTTGCGGCTTGCTTCAGGCTCAGCCCCCCCCCCGTCCATGCAAGTAAACTTGCCAGAGTCTAAAAAAAAGGCTCCTGGGGGCGCGGATTGAAGCAGTCATGCCGGCGGACGTCTGGGACGACGGGCGGTTTCTCAACGCTCTCGGCCTGGGGGCCCCGGGGGCTGCGAGGAACGACTCGCGACGAGAAGCCAGTGCCGGAGGAGGGGTCGGGACTTCGGGGGACCGCGCATAGAATCTGCACGAACGAAATGGGTAAGGAAAGAATGGCTACAATGCCCAACAGCAGTTCCTGTTCATTTTGAACAGGACTCGCTGTCCGCGCCACCGCGGCCTGTGTCCATTCGAGACAGAAGGCCGCCTGCCCAACAGCGGCCGCTGTTGGTTTGGGACAACATTTGTTGTTGGGCATTGTACCAATCCTTTCCGTACCCATTTCGGGCGTCCAAATAGAACAACAGCGAGACGTCGCATGTCTGGGAAGTTCGAGGCTTTCGGGCGTGCTCGTCGGCCCTCTGCGGCTCCCCATAGCCTCGAGGTGTGGTCTGCGGCGGCGCCGGCGCCTCGCCGAGCGCGTTCGCTTCGGGGGGTGCCCAGGTCGTCGTCCCCCGAGCGGCCGCCGGGGCGCCGAGGGGTGGCCCGAAGGGTGCTCTTGTCAGGTAGAGGGGGGGGGGAGGGGGGGGATCAGGGGCCTCCTCCTCTCCTCCTCCTCCTCCTCTCCTCCTCCTCCCCCTCCTCCTCTTCCTCCTCCCCCTCCTCCTCCTCCTCCTCCCCTCCTCCTCCTCCTCTTCCTCCCCCTCCTCCTCCTCCTCCTCCTCCTCCTCCTCTCTCCTCCCTCCTCCTCCTCCTCCTCCCCCTCCCCCGGGGCCGCGGCGGCCGAGTCGACCGCGAGCCCCTCGTTCGATAGTCCTCGATAGTCCTGCTCCTTCCCCCCTCCTCCTCCCTCCTCCTCCTCCTCCTCCTCCTCCTCCTCCTCCTCCTCCTCCTCCCCCTCCTCCCCCTCCCCCTCCTCCTCCGAGGGGGGGGGGGACGCATCGGGCCCCAACCGTCCATCCATCGCCGACGGGGGCCTGCTGGCCCAGTCCGCACAGGAGCGTGCGGATTCGCCCTCGGGGGCTTGCCGCCGATCTCTCGGCGCGGCGTATCGCCGCTTCCAGCTCGATGTTTCCCCCCCCTGAGCGGGTCATTCCCCCCTATACGTTATGACGCTGCCCCTCTAGGTGGTGCGCCTGCTGTCGGCCCCGGTGTACTCGTCCTCGGAGGGGGGGCCGGTCGAGGTTAGCGGCGGCGCACTCCCTGGCGTGTATGGTCTGTTTTTGTTTTGGGTGCGGGGGGCCTCTGGGAGGCGTCTCGCCGCCTGTGCACCCCCGTCCCGAAGCGCGGGCCGGGGAGCGATGTGGAGCGGACCATGGGCAGGGCGGGAGGGCCGCTGCCGTCTCAAGGGAGGAACGACCACCCGGACCCGATAATAGTTGGCGTTTACGAAGCGGCCCTGGGCGTTTAAGAAACAGCCCTGCCCTGTTCGATTCTTTCCCTGGGTGCGTTAACTAAACGGCTTCGCGTGTCGGGATCATTCTTATGGGGGGATTATCTGCCCTTTATATTTGTCGTTTTGATCCCGTTTCGCAGCCAAGGCGGATTGAGGGCAGAACGAGGGCGTTTACCAAACGGCCCTGGGCGTTTACGAAACAGCCTTGCCCTGTTCGCATCCTTGTCTGGGTGCGTTTGCTAAACGGCTTCGCGTGTCGGGTTGATCACTATCGGGGTGTATTACTTCTGCTCTCTAGTCATCTCAACCCTAGTGGAGGATTTCTACGAAGGGCTTAGGCGACCCGTCCCCCTCCTCCTTCTCCTCCTCCTCCTCCTCCTCTTCCTCCTCCTCGTCCTCGTCCTCGTCCTCCTCCCTCCTCCTCCCTCCTCGTCCCTCCTCCTCCTCCTCCTCCTCCTCCTCCATCACCTCCTCCCCCTCCCCCTCCTCCACCTCCTCCTCCTCCTCCTCCTCCTCTCCTCCTTCTCCTCCTCCCCCTCCTCGGGTCGCCTACGGCCCAGGAGCGCCCAGGGAGCAATAGGGCACGCTGCCCAAGCATTTTCCCTCAACCTTGTGTCAGAGGCTTCCGCCTAATTACGTGGGTCCTTGCCCATCAGAATCAAATAACTCATCTGCTGCCGCACTCGCCCTGCATTGTCGCCTTTGACGGGGGAAACCGTTTAAGTCCCAGACAAGCGACGGTGCAATTTGATGTCGGTGCCGGCCGCCTCCCGGTGCCTGCAGGGGGCAGTGTCGCGTCCCGGGCCCGCGCGCCGCGCGCGCCGAGAAAGCTCACAGTGCGAGCTCCGTGGCGGGCGGTCTCTGGCCAAACCGCTCGGGAAACGATGTGCTACAAGACGCGCAGGTGATCGTTTTTTATGCATTGCTCTGCCGATCGGCGCGGGCCCTCGCACCCCCACCTTGCCCCCCTCATGGAGTAGATCTTGGCTGTTTTTGGGGCGCCTGTTTCGAGCGGGTGGAGTCTCCCCCACAGGACGCACCGCTGCAAACCGTCGCATTACGCAGAGGTCTGGAGCCAGACCCCCCGCCCTCCCCCCCTTCCGCCCAATGTCGAAACGCCAAATAGAAAACATGCTCACTGTACGTTATACTCTATATTCGGGTCGGGCGCACGCCTCCAAGGAGGACGCACAGTACGAGTATGTCCACGTGCGTCCCAAGGCATGTCGCCATCCACCGGGTGAGGGTCGAACGGTCTGAGTGTGGCCAAGGCCGTCGGCGGCCGTTGTCGGAGAGTCTTTGACCAGGGAGGCGAGGCCTTGGCAGATCTCCACAGCAGCATCGAGGAAACACCTTTTTTTGTTGGCAGCGCTGGCGGTCGCAAGCTCATCTGCGGAGCACGAACATCGAAGAAGCAATAACCGCACAAACACAAAGCTGTTGCTCTCCGCGCGGATTTCTTGGATCGGCGCTGGGCCTCCCTGGCGGCGCCTCCAGCGCCGCCCCTGGCGCGCTCCGCGCGCTAGAGAGGGGGGTCCGACGCGGATCCAAGAAATCCGCGCGGACGTCCAAAAGTTCACGTGTCTGCGGTTCTTTGTTCTTTTGGAAAACACGTTGGAAAGAGGATGTCGGCCGCGGAGGGGACAAGTGCACGGTTTCCCCCGAGGAGAACGGAGGAGAGGAGGAGGAGGAGGAGGAGGAGAGGAGGAGGAGGAGGAGAAGGGGATGGAGGAGGAGGAGGAGGAGGAGGAGACGGAGGATATGGAGGAGGAGGAGGAGGAGGAGGAGGAGGAGGAGGAGGTGGAGGAGGAGGAGGAGACGGCGGATATGGAGGAGGAGGAGGAGTAGGAGGAGGTGGAGGTGGAGGAGGAGAAGGGGATGGAGGAGGAGGAGGAGGAGGAGGAGGAGAAGGAGGAGGAGGAGGAGGAGACGCAGGATATGGAGGAGGAGGAGCAGGAGGAGGAGGTGGAGGAGGAGGAGGAGACGGCGGATATGGAGGAGGAGGAGGAGGAGGAGTAGGAGGAGGAGGAGGAGGAGGAGGGGTCGCCTAAGCCCTTCGGAGAAACCCTCCAGGCACAGGGCACACCGAGGCAGGTGGAACAGAGGAGGGCGGCCGCGGGCAGTGCCCGAGGTGCCTAGCGCGTCAGCGGGGCGCGAGCGCGCAGGCGGCCTCAGGCGCAGCACGCGCGGAAAACGCGATCGTTAAGTAGGGCATGTCCCTCTACAGGAGGGATGCTCAAACAGAATTCAAAAGCAGTATGGGGACGATTTGTTTTACATGTTTCCTGATCTGATGAACACATGTATATACATATATGTGTATATACACACATCTGTATATCTATATCTATATATGTTTGTCATTATTCGTCCCATATCCGACGGTAGGAGGACATGGCCGACCTAACGTTATCGCTGGTCGGCCACTGCAGGTCGGCTCGTGTGGCGCTCCTGGCTTACTTCCAGGGCCGCACTGTAACGTCAGCCCTGGCGCATCGAGATCCTGCGCTCGCGAGGAGGAAAAGAAGGGAACACCCTGCTAGACCCCCGACGTCATCATGTCTTCATGATGTGGACCCCCCGAGAGGTCTCGACCCGCTGCCCTGGACCGGTGGTTCGTCCCGCGCCGCCTTTTGACGGTCCCGAGGGCCGGTGAGGGCCCCAAGAGGCCGAAGGTATCGACTACACGTAAGAGTGACTCTTCGCAGGAGTGACCTTAGGTGCGGGCCCACCGGAGTCCCCCCGATCGCTGAGCGCGAAGCGATAGTAGCGCCTTGCGCGCTTGTGCTTGGGCCTCCCGCGGCCCACCCAAAGACGCGCACCAAAGGTCACCCTTACCCAGGTTCACTCCTGCGGGTAGCCGAAGATAGCCTTAAGTCGGGCTTGTCCCTCTACAGGAGGAATATGCAAAAATAGTAAAGAAATAGCCTGGGGACTATTTTTGGACCATTCTCAAATACTGTTAGGGCATTTTTTTTGTATTTTTCATTGTTCGTCCAAAATCGGCCTGTAGGGGGACAGGCCCGACTTACAGGTAGCGCCGTCGTGATTTTTTGTCATGCCTCGGGTGGGCCCTGGGCCCCTCGGACCCCCTCGAGCCCGGAGCGGCGACGCCCCCGGTGCTCTCCGTGCGCGGGGCCACGGGCCCCCCCCGGTGCCCCACGCGCCCTCGGTGGGGGCTTCCAGAGGCCGACGCCTCCCGTCGTGATGTTTTCGCAACTCGGGGGGGGGGCCTCTGGCGGAACCTCCTCCTCCTCCTCCTCATCTCTCTCCTCCTCTCCTCCCCTCCTCCTCATCCTCCTCCTCCTCCTCTCCTCCTCCTCCTCCTCCCCCTCCTCCTGCTCCTCCTCCTCCTCCTCCTCCTCCTCCTCCTCCTCCCTTCCTCCTCCTCCTCCTCCTCCTCCTCCTCCCTGAAGTACGATGGGAGCAACAGAAGTCTGGGGGCGGGCCCTCCTCCGAGTCGTCGTGGCTGCCCGTGCTCGTCCTCGTGGGCCTCCAGGCGGGCGGCCTGCGCCGCGCGGCACGTGGCACGCGGGCGCTGGTCGAGCGCCTCTACACCCAGACGGTGGGCCGTCGTCGTCCTCCTCCTCCTCCTCCTCCTCCTTCTCCTCCTCTCCTCCTCCTCCCTCCGCCTCCTCCTCGTGCACCTCGAACTCCTCTCTCCTCCTCCTCCTCGCTCCTCCTCCTCCTCGTGCACCTCTCCTCCTCCTATCCTCCTCTCCTCCTCCTCCTCCTCTCCTCTTCCTCCTCTTCCTTCTCCTCCTCCTCTTCCTTCTCCTCCTCCTTCCCCTCGTGCACCTCTTCCACCTCCTTCTCGTCTTCTTCTTCCTCCTCCTCCTCCTCCTCCTCCTCCTCCTTCTCGTCGTCCTCCTGCTCTTCCTCGTCGTCGTCGTCGTCATCGTCGTCAACATCCCTGAGGAGGAGGAGGAGGAGGAGGAGGAGGAGGAGGAGGAGGAGGAGGCGGAGGAGGAGGGGGAGGAGGAGGAGGAGGAGGGGGGACGAGGAGGAGGAGGAGGAGGAGGAGGAGAAGGAGGAGGAGAGGAGTAGGAGGAGGAGGAGGGGGGAGGAAGAGAGGAGGAGTAGGAGGAGGAGGAGGAGAGAGGAGGAGGAGGAGGAGGAGGAGGAGGAGGAGGAGGAGGACGAGGAGGAGGAGAAGGAGGAGGAGGAGGAGGCGGAGGCGGAGGCGGAGGCGGAGGCGGAGGAGGAGGAGGAGGAGGAGGAGGAGGAGGAGGAGGAGGAGGAGGAGGAGGAGGAGGGAGGAGGAGGAGGGAGGAGGAGGGAGGAGGAGGGAGGAAGAGGGAGGAGGAGGGAGGAGGATGGAGGAGGACTCGGAGGTGGAGGAGGAGGAGGAGGAGGGGGAGGAGGAGGAGGAGGACAAGCTGGGTGCGCCCGAGTGATATCTGATGTCCTACCCCGTCCTCCCATCCCTCCCCATGGCGTAGATCTCCTCTCCATCCGCACAATCGGATGTCGCAACATGGCATAGCATGGTGTTGACGATCAATGCGTAGCATGTCACAGCATGACGTGGCGACGCCCCAAAGTGCGGGGGGGGGCTTCTGCGGCCCCAAAATCAACGAACCGGCACCGAATGTGTAATCACTTCCGATGTTTTTGTCGGGAGGCGGGGAGGGGGCATGTTCTAGATGTTGGGGCTTATTTGGAAGGACCGAAAACCATGCCGTGGCATGGCACTGGAAATAATGACGCCAGCGCTGCAGTGGGAGCACGATTTGGGACGAGCAGAAGCACGATTCGGAACGAGTGGAAGCGCGGAAATGAGGCCAGCGCATCAGCGGGAGCAGCATTTTTGACAAACAACAAGCGCAGAACCGCGGAAATGAGGACGCGTAGCTCGACATAGCATGGCGTGGCGACGCCCAGGGGCTTCTGCGGCCCAAAAAATTAACGAATCGACACTGGATGTGGAATCACTTCCGATGTTTTTTGTTCGGGGGGTGCATTTTCTATATTTTGGGGCCCGAAAAACATGCCGTGGCATGGCGCTGGAAATCATGACACCAACGCTGCAGTTGGAGCACGATTCGGGACGAGCGGAAGCGCAGAAATGAGGCCAGCGCTGCAGCGGGAGCACGATTCGGAACGAGCGGAAGCGCAGAAATGAGGCCAGCGCTGCAGCGGGAGCACGATTCGGAATGAGCGGTAGCCCGAAAATGAGGCCAGCGTTTCAGCGCGAGCAGCAGCGAAAACAAAACAAAAGCTCCCGGGAATCTTGTGTGTAGAAAACCAATACGCGGAGGTGAGAGAGGAGAGTAGTTGTCATATTATGTAAACGTAGAGGAGGAGGAGCAGGAGGAGGAGGAGGAGGAGGAGGAGGAAGAGGAGGAGGAGGAGGAGGAGGAGGAGGAGGATGGGTTTCCAGGGTTTCCGCCATCACGTAGTGATAAAAAGGCTGTGCTCGGCGCTTGGGGAACAGGTCGCGATCGATCCTATCAAGATATTCGCGCCTGGCCTTGGTAAGTAAGTGGGGGTGACAAGGATTACCTAAACCCCTGAGCTGGGTCTGACCGAAAAATCCGCACTACCCATAACATCAAATTCCAAGGTCTTTGTGATACCGAAGGGCGTGTGAGGGATGCGTCCAGCCACCTGCCAAATGTAAACTCCGTCCGGGGCTCGGGATAACCTGACATTCACGTGGAAGGGGGAACGCAAGCACTTGTTAACCATTCGGTCGCTGTCGCTTTCGAGGCCGAATTGAAACACACCGAACACGCTCTGCCATTCTCGGTCAAGGTGTGGGCAGACGCAAAGCGTGCAAGGGCATTGGGAGGAGGAGGAGGAGGAGGAGGAGGAGGAGGGGGAGGAGGACGCGGAGCCTGGGGAACAGGCGGGGCCTCAGGAACCCCAGACGGGGCCTTGAGGTCCAGAGACGCTTGTATAAAATCCAATCCTACTCTAAGAAGTCTTCTCCTAACAGGCCGTGCCTTACGTTCGGTTGTGTGCAACCTAAACTTATCCGCATCTGGGATCCTGGCTTGCGTGGCAGCAGCTCCAACTAGCTGGTCTACGCACGCATTGCTAACGAGAAGCCAACCATCCCACCCCTGCTCGACGACTTCTCGCGCCGTGAGGTCTGACGGGATCTGCATAACGACAACGTCACTGGCACTGCGATTGTGTTCGGGGAGGCTGAGGCCTATGCTGCGCCGTAGGTCTGCTTGAGGGCCCTCGGGAGCGCTGGCCGCTCCGTCGTACCATCCTCGCGCCACTTCGGCGCAGTCAGTCATATACACTATTGGACCTACCGTGAACCTGAGGGCCCATTGAAAGGCTTGGAGCTCCCCCCCCATAGGGACCGTTTGGGCAGGTCCCACCAAGGAGCCGAACAGGTACGGACCAAGCTCGCACGGGGGAGAAGCTCCTGACAACAGCAACAGCATTTCCGACCCTCCGAAGCCTACTCTCGTGCGTATCCTTGCCCCCGGAGGAGTCTCCAAAGACGAAAACCGGTGCGCCCCGAATCCCCTGGCCAAGGCACCCAGGACCCAGGCGCCCTTGGATAAGATCTCCTCCGAAGGAGGCTTCTCCACAGGCAGGGGCGGGCATGCGGGTCCACTCACCGGGGACCGCCGCCCTCATCCAGAAACAAGGTGAAGGACTCATGCTCGGCGATGGCCTCCGTCACAAGACACCCTGACCGACCAGAAGCTCTGCGGAGCCACGATGTTTGGCCACATGACGACCTGCGGTGCAGAGCCGTGCCCGGCCCTTCTCCGCACCGCAGGCACGTGCTTGGCTCCGTCACGTCCGCCTCCGACGCACGCCGATCCGTCCAGCAGCAGCCCGGTGCGATGGCAACCATCAGCGCTCCGAGAGCTGGCGGCCCTTTCTCGCGTGCAGCAGCGATGCGATGTGGGCGCGATAACTCTGCCAGTCTGCTCCCTGTTCCAGGCCGCCTCCACAGAAGAAGCCCGATGCCTCCTGCCAGAGTTGCATGTACAGGGTGTCTTCGAGAGGTGGTTGCGCCTGGTCCAGGCCATCAAAAGCATCGGAAGCGAACTCCCACGTGTGCTCCATGATGCCCCCGTCGCTCGGCACCTGCCACTCTGCCGCAGATTTCAAATTCCAGCCAGCCTGCAATACATACAACACCACAGAAGATAGCGGACCACGCACATGGCGACTGCGCTGACTCACGGGAACGTCCTTGAGAGCCGACACCGTCCTGCCCCACGCCAAACGTATCGACGGGCGAAGGCGAGGTTGCCCCAACCAAGAATCAAACCACTGGGCGAGGCATCAACGTGGTAGAACAACGCCTGGGTCAGCGCCTGGGAGCCCGAGCGCAAGCAACGACGTCAGCCCCGCCCCCCCCTTTTCGCCGACCTCGCTGCAGCTCCCAGGCGTCTCCTGTGACTGAGCATCACCGGTCCAAAGCATCCCAGAACTTGTTGGCCGCATGAGGCCGCTGATTGGGGCCCTGATCTCTTTATCTTACGAGTGGAAGCCCGCCTCATCGCAGCAGCCGCGAATCGCCGAAGCCGCTGACGAGATATAACTACCTGACGTCTTCACTCTCGCGCGCCGTGTCTCGTCCGCGCCGCCGCCCCCCTGCGAGATTGGCACCGAGATGCGACGCCTGGAGCATCGGCTTGGCACAAATACCCCTCCTCTTCAAACGCCGAGCGATGCTACCTGGGCCCTGATGGAGCGAACAGGCCGCCACGCTCTTCGACGCGATGCTCAGCTTCAACTTCCGAAATTCGTTCACTCTCGTCGCCACCGCCTTCTCAAGCGCGTTGCGTGCATGTGCTCTGCCACCTGATCTTCTCTTCATCAAGTCATCGGCCCTGATCCTCTCGGGCACCAACGAGTGGGCGATGGCCAACTTCTCGCACGCAATTGCCGTGAGGCACTTGGCGAACCTCGCGCCACTCCTCGACCCTTGGATGACCGACTTCGTTGCTTGAAATGGTCAAGACAAATTAATCAAACTGCGATGGCATACGCGGTGCCATGAAGAGCTGCATCTCCAAGAAGAGCACCGCGGGAGGGTACCCTTCCCTGATCGCACACCCCGCAAGGATAGGCCGCGCCATCCCGTCGTAGAAGGCCTCACGTCGAGCAGCGCTTGCCCATGCGGCAGCCGAAGACAAGCCTGGACCTCGTCCTCCTGGCGCCCCCACGAGCGCCTCCCGGAGGGCGCCGCTGCCAGCGATGGCGGCACCCCAGTCGTCGCCCCGCTGGTCCGCCCGCCCTCGCGCGAGAGGCTCTCGGAGCCAGGGGGTCGCACCCGGCGCGGCGTGCCCAAGAGGCCGACGCAACGGCCGCCTCCCGACTTCTGGCCGAGGAGCCGCCCCGCCACGCAGAGCACCTGCCGTGGCCAGAGGAAGCCCCGCTCGAGCATGGCGAAGAGCCGCACGAGGTCGCCCGTCGCTTCGGCGGGGAGCCGAGCGAAGTCCAGGGGCGAGAACCTACCCATATCCTGGCCCGCCCGCGGTTTCACGTTGGCCAAGGCTGGCCTGACCTCCCCGATGGTAAGCGGCACCAGCTCCTCGACTTCAGCAGGACTCCTGATCATTCCGCACGCCTTCGAAATATCATCAGCATCTAAAACTTTGGACGACCGCAAATCGTGCCATCTCCCAACCTCTGCGTCTACAGTATCAAGAGGATGTACCAACTTCTGACCTCCCATGTGATATTCGTCCAGCTCGGGCTCCTTGTCCTTGATGGACCTGTGGGTGGCGCCCAGACTGTCGACTGATCCGATCCAACCCTGGAAGCCACGAAGGGGAGCCGAAGCTGCGCGGTGCTGCGCCCTCCTCGCCGACCTGACAGCTACTTCCTCCAGAGGCTCCAACTCATCAGCCCCATGATGCTGAAGCCGGCGAAGGGAGTCCAGATACAGAGCCCACGACGCGCCCTGCGCACCCGTTAAGTCGGCTCCTGCGCCATCGAGGGGCTGGTTGGCCAGGCTCTGATCAGCCCTTGCCAGGTGCTCCACCCGCAGCGCGCCGTTCCGCCGACTGGCGGTGTCGGTGCGCCTGCTTGATGAGTGCGCGCCCTCTGCTCCACCACGCGGATAAACCATCCTGCAGCGGCTGCGCCCTCACGTGGTCCGCCGCCTTGATTGGGCCACCTCGAGCGCGACGCCGTCGGCTCTGGACCCCGTCGGGGCCTCCAGGCCGTGGTGCGCCGTGATCGACCCCACGACCGTGCTCACCCATCGCCCGAAGCAACTGCTGATCGGCAGGATGTGTTGCTGTCCTGCTCGGTATGCAAGGGGTTGTCCAGTGGGTTTCCAGACATCGCGAATAGCATGTGGCCTCCAAAAGGCTTGAGCCGAGGCGGCTGCCCAGGTGGAAGCAGGGATGGGGAATGGAGGCAGGGTGGGGGGGCAGCAGCAACAGCAGGGGAGTGCGGCTTATCCTGCTCACCGGCCGCGCTGATGCCCGAGCCCCCAGGACGCTCGACAGGGGGGGCAGCCAAGACACCCCTCGAAAGCTCGCCACTTGTGACCTCCTCGTTTTCCAGGAGATCGCGATGCAGGTGAACGGCGGGTTCGGAACGCGTCTCTCGCGCCCACGGGTCCTCCCCCTCATCCTCGAACGCGCCGGAATCGAAAAGCTCCTCGCCCTCCGCCGAACCGCCGCGCCCTCCGCCGAACCGCCGTTGGGCCCAGCCTCGACGGGGAGGAGCAGGGGGCTCGTCGGGATCGGGCTCCGCGGGGCCCTGGCCGCCCGAAGGGCCCGCCCTGGAAGCCAGAACTCGCGAGAAACAAAAGCTCGTCGCGGTCGGCTCGGACCCTTCCTCGCGCGGCTTGGGCTCGAGCCTGCTGCTCCGCGAGTGCCTTACCTCGGCCCAGACCCCCCTTCGTCGGGCCGGTGCCCGGACGCGGGACCCGAGCCGAGGCAGACGCGGGGCGGTGGCGAGAGAACGCTGGAACAAGTGCTCTCCTGACCCATGCAGTGTGACCTCGAGCCCTGCATGAGGCCCCCACGGAACGTCTGGCCGAGCTTCTAGTGGCTTGATATGCGGCAAGCAGTTCTCAGACGCCAGAACAAACTCGATGTGTGAACTATCGGCACTCCCTGCGCAACAGGTGTGGTCACCATGCGACTGCCCGACGAGACCCCCTGCACGCTTGACGAACCTAGAATGCCGAAGCTGATCAACTCCGATATTGAAATCCCCAATGACGAGTCATCGGAGTTGGAGCATATGCAGCGCCGCTCCCAGTCTCACACAGCGTTGAGCGTTGGCACCCCCAAAGGCTATCGAGGGGTGCGCGTAGAAAAGAATATGACAATCGAGTGCCCCCGGCAATGTCCCACCGACGGGAGGAATCTGTCGAAGGCGTCGGCGCCATCGGCACACAAGGACGTCGCTCCGGACGTCTTGGCAAAAAGACGATGCACACGGCGGCGGCCTGGCGCCCACAGCGCCTCTCCGCCCTCATTGGCTCCCTGCTCCGAGGACTGGTTGGAGCCCTTGCCAGTGCTGCGAGCCATGCTGTCGAGGTACCTCCACTTCAACTGCCTGGACCTCCTTGCCCACTGCGACCGAGCGTGGCACCCTGCGTGAGTCTCGGCAACTCCCACCAGATCGCACCCTGACATGAACTCCTTCGCACTCAGGAAGGGCCAAGACTTTTCCCCGAGACGTGTGAGGTTGAAGACGAACATCTTGACCGTCGAGGGTCTCTGCAACTCTGAGTTAGACGAAGGTGCGCCACCAGCCTCAGCTAAAGCTGACGACGCACCTGACGGCTCCGAGGTGGTAGAAGACGAAGAAGCACCCGCCGCTAGAAATGCTCCTTCGCCAGGCGACTCCGAGGATGTGGAGGACGGCACCGCCGCAAAAATGACGTCCTCCTGTCGCACCCGTCACTGAACCGTTGGCACGGCTGCTTCAGCACCTGACACGCTTGCTGCGTTGACGGCCCTGATCTTGGCCATCCAGAGCTCGATCTCTGCCTCCGAGGGCCCACTGGACGTGTCGGACACTCCGCACCCGCAGCGCCCGCTCCCCCCGCGGGGGCTCCACCTGGCTGTGGCCCCAGCAGGTTCGTCTACAGGGGCGTCGACGCCATCGGAGCCTCCGCCACAGCGCCGCTTCTTGTTCAGGCGCTCCGTGGCCTTCTTCTTCAGGGCCTCGGCGTCGGCCGTCCACTTGGCGATCTCCTCGGCCTTGGTGAGGACTGGCTCCCTCGCGGCCTGCAACTCCGCCTCGATTTTGCGGAGGGACTCCTTCTCCGCCGCGCTGCACTCCAGAGTCTCCAGCTGCTGGACGAACTCCGCATCCCAGGTGAGACAGAACAGAGGCTCCTCACCCTTGGGCTGCGCGTCCGGCGCGACTGCGCCCGTCTCCTCCGCGCGCGCCTGCGCCGCGCCTCGACGGATGATCTCCGCCAGGGCAAGGGCTAGGAGGAGGAGGAGGAGGAGGAGGGAGGAGGAGAGAGGGAGGGAGGGAGGGAGGGAGGGAGGGAGGGAGGAGGGAGGGAGGGAGGGAGGGAGGGAGGAGGAGGGAGGAGGAGGAGGGAGGAGGAGGAGGAGGAGGAGGAGGAGGAGGAGGAGGAGGGGACAGGCCCTTGGCCAGGTTCCTCTCCGGCCTCTGCACCGGCCTGCGCGGCCTGCGCGCACTCCGCGCGGGCGCCCCGCCCCGCGCCTGCCTCTCGCCGCCACCGCCTCCTCCGCCAGAGGCTGGCCCGCCTGCACGGCGGCGGCCTGCTGTGTCTGCCTCGGCTGCTCCTCTGAGAGCTGCTTCACCCTCGGATCCTTCACCACGGCGAGGGCCCCCGTGAAGGCAGCCACCGCCTGCTGCGCCGAGGAGGCCTCGCCCCCGTTCCCCTTGGATGGCTCGGCCTCGAGCTGCAGCCGGTGCTCCTTACACTTGCTCTTGCCCTTGCTCTTATCGCCCTTGGGGGGCGTAGAGCTTGACAGGGCGATGACAGGTGCGGCACTTGCACCCGTTGGCTTGCAATTTTGCGCTGAACTCGTGAGTGCCGCATCCTGCGCACGTGCTCCAAGGTTTCGCCATGGTCCCTGGAACAAGTGCGATCCCGCTTTGGTCGACAGGATCTGCTGCGCAAACGTGCGTGGACGACCTGCCGCCCCCCAAGCACCACGTGGAGGCGCGGGACTGGCCGAGTGCGATGCCAAGGAGGAGGAGGAGGAGGAGGAGGAGGAGGAGGAGGAGGAGGAGGAGGAGGACGAGGAGGAGGAGGAGGAGGACGAGGAGGAGGAGGAGGCGAAGGAGGAGAAGAGGAGAGGAGCAGGAGGAGGAGCAGGAATAGGAGGAAGGAGGAGGAGGAGGAGGAGGAGGAGGAGGAGGAGGAGGAGGAGGAGGAGGAGAGGATGGAGGAGGAGGAGGAGGAAAAGGAGGAGGAGGAGGAGGAGGAGGAGGAGGAGGGAGGAGGAGGAAGAGGCGGAAGAGGAGGGAGGGAGGGAGGAGAAGGAGGGAGGAGAAGGAGGGAGGAGTGCTTCCCTCGTTGTCGCTTTTTTAGGCCCCCTGGGAGGTGAGCCTCCCGAGCGCCGAGCTCGTGGCCTCGCTCGGGCGGGCCATGGGCGAGAGGGGCGTGCTGCGGAGCTGCGACCCCTCTCGGGCCAATGGGAACATCGCGGCGGGGAGTTCTCGTCCCGCCAGCTTCGGCCTCCGTCTGGGGGCCCTCGCCGGCCCTCGGCGCCGCGCCGAAGACGACGCGCGATGCAGAAGCGGTCCCCGGGGGATGGGTCCAGACCGTTGGGTGTCCACGTCCAGGAAGCATGCAGGACGTCTCCGAGGGTGGCTTTACTCCGTCTGGTGGCTGCTTTTTCCCTGGCTCTCGGCCTCCGGGGCCCCTTGTCGGGCCCCGGGGCCATCAGAAACAGATCCAGGGCGCAAGAGTAGGCGAGGGGTCGGGAGGTTTGTGGCCGCGCATAGAAGATCAAATCGGAGGATGTCTGGGGACCTCGAGACCTTGCCACCTCCATCTCGTCGAGCTGGGCGTGCTCGCCCAGAATCGGGCCCCGGGACCATCGCAGACCGATCCGGCCCGGAATATGCAGCAGA